GAGGAGATGTTTGTGGAATGCGAGCAGTCTGAGGAGGAGGAGGAGGAGATTGTAGAGGAGTGTAGACGCAGCAAGTTCCAGTGCAGCGAAGGTGGCGAGTGTTGCTACACATGGCTAGTAACCAGTTAACGTAACTTGGGAAGAGGGGGGGCTGGGAGGGTGTAGTATAAAGCTTCATGATTAGAAGCCTCCTCCATGGACTCTTCAGGTTTTGTTTTTCAAGTGAGAACCCAACGACATCTCATGAGTCTCCCACTATCTCGGGCGTCTTCCTCCTCCAAACTGTCCATACACTTCCCGACAGCCTGATTGGAAAGACAGCTGTTGACCTATAGTTGCGCCATGGCATCAGTCAAAGAGCTGTACCGTGAACCTCCCAAACTGTATTTGGCAATCACCAGCTTAGCACGTAGTTTGCAACAACATGGCTTGACACCTGTCGTGGTTGATCACACGATGCCACAAATCAGGGCCGCGTTGGAACCCTTCTGTGGAAGGAAAGGCCGCCCATTCCGCAAATTGGATGCTGAAGCTTTATCCTCTATTTTGCCCAGGGCTAGCGTGTTGGTGGAGCAGTCACTGTTGGAGAAGTTTCCACAGGAGCTGGCTGGGGTGCTCCATCCCACATCCCAACCTCTAGATCCACTACGTAGGGCCATGGATGGTGCGGTGGACCTGTGGCTGACAGGGGGCCCTCTGAGCAGTGGGATCAAGTTGCTGCGGATGTGAGGTTGAGGAAAGCAGAGTTTGAGGTCCATCCGGACCCATCTCGTCACTCGAGCTTCAAAGGCTGTGATTTGTGTGCACATTGTCTGTGCATGTGAACTGCTGCGCCCCCCTTAAGATAAATGTTGGAGCATTCTATCCGGCTCACCAACCCAGGCTCAAGCTCTCAGCTCTGCTCCAAATATTGGCATGTTAGGCACATCTTCCGCTGCTTGGTGCCCTTCGCACACTTCAGCGTTGCGCAATCATTGTTGTAACGGCGGACCACTGCTCCGCATGATGCTGTCCACCATGTCCTGGGCTCATTTTGGTATCCACCCAGCAGGTATGCTGGTTGCGTTCGCCCTGGTGCAGTCAACTGAAACCCGTGCCTGACGCAGATGTCTGGAGATTCAAACAGAATGTCACGAAAGCTAGCGAAGCTAGCT